AATGAATGTACAAATGTGCTTTACACAATTGATGTATGTATGGATTGTGATAAGAGTTGTATGAGCCCCTAATAAAATGATTTTAAAAATGTTTTTTTAAAGCAGTCTTCAAGGAGCAGCCTTCATTTCCAGGTCTGGCTACTTCTCATTGCCTGAGCGTTATCTGTAGATAAGAGCCATCAGGTTCTATAGCCAAACAGCCATAAAGTGTAGCAAGTCCCTGGGGAGGGCTCAAGGGTATTCAAGGTCAACTAGCACTAGGTCAAGGTGATGATTCACCTCATCACAGCTTAAGATATTACCCATTGACTATGTATCTGTTAGCTGTATGACATGCATGTGTTATGAAAGATCTGTAAGGCCCATTATACATGCCCATTGGAAAATACATTCATTCACTCAGTCCGGACATGGAATAAGACGTCCTTGTCCCCCACTGTCTGCCTTTAATATTTCCCACAATCGCAAAGTCGCTCCTGAGGACTCATTTGAGTGTTGGGGAGCCCTATACCCCAATAAGAGAGGACCAAAGTCGAGCCGCCATCTTGTTATGTATGTACCTTCCTGTCACATGTATTCATATGCCTCTAGTCCCTCCCTTTCCTGTTGTGTGTATACCCCTAGCTAGTCACCCTCCTGTTACGTATAGGCCTCTAATACAACCCCTTCCTGTTCTGTATGTGCTTACCATGGCTTGCGTGCCCAAGACATGTAAGTTGATGTAAGAATACATTTTCTCTCTCTCTGCTCAGACCTGGTTCCTGATGTCATGGCGGATGTGAGGACCCCAAAACTTTTATCTTTTAACTTCTTCCTTTCCATTACACAACCATCCCTAGGACCCATCCAGATGAGGGTCTGGATCCCACACTTTGCTCATTGGGTCACATTGGTAAATCCACGCTTCATCCCCAGTTACTATATGTTCATAAAATCGTCTTCAGTATCTTTGGTCTTGCTTAAATATAGAAAAATCAGCTCTCTGAGCTAGCTTACCCTCATACAACTCTTTGGTACTCATACAGCCGAAATTCTGCTGACGAAGCCCACACATTCCTGAACGTTAAAGATGCCCACCATGTGACACCCCAACTTCAGCAGCTCTCGCATCAATGGTCACTCTGTGACCTTCCACCAGTTTCTGGATTTCAGCCACAGTCTCTCCATTCATCAAAGTGCATGATCTTCCCGCTCTTGGCTCATTTTTTCCCAACAGTTTTATTGGCACATAATTCACATATCATACAATTCAATAGTTCAATCATATCAAGAAGAGCTGCACAATCATTAGCACAAGCCATTTTAAAACATTTTCTTTCTTGTATTTATTGCTCTTAGCGCCCCATTTCTCCCCAACCTCCCTGCAAGAAACCATTTATCCAGTTACTCTCTCTATAGATTCACCCGACTTGAATTTCAAATACCGAATACCACACAAAAACAAAGAAACAAAAACAACAAAATTAAATAGTAAAAAACCACCATCAAAAGGAAAGCAGAAAATATTAAAAAACAGAATAACTGAACAAAAAATCATATCATTGTAAAGGTGGGTGAGTGGAGAGTGGAGACTCAAAGCCCATCGGTAGGCAACTGGACACCCCCTCGCTGAAGGGTTGAGGGGAGGAGATGAGCCAGTAGGGTGCAGGGTAGCAATGATGAAACATGTAACTTTCCTCTAGTTCTTAAATATTTCCTCCACCCCACTCTCATGATCCCAATTCTACCTTACAAATCTGGCTAGACCAGAGGATGTACATTGATACAGATAACAACTGTCCAGGGAATCCAGGACAGATGACTCCTTCAGGACCAGTGGTGAGAGGGGCGATGCCTGGAGGGTGAAGGGAATGTGGGGTAGAAAGGGGGAACCGATTACAAGAATCTAAGTATTGCCTCCTCCCTGGGGGATGGACAGC